ATGCACGTGAATGAGAGGGTGCTTACAAATGTTTTTCGGAAAGACGAAATTTTTTTTCGAAAACAAGGATTAGTTTTATTTTTCTAGGCATGCAGCCAGGAAAATTTTTTTTTTCATCAAAATGAAAGATGGTCACCGGACATGGTTGTTCGATCTTATCTGAAAACGCCCAGTAATATTTGTATTTTTTTAAGATCTACGAATTGTTGTAGAAAAATTATTAAATTTTGTAAAACATTAATCACAAGCTATAGGTTTTATATCCCATGAGGCAGTATAACATGCACTTTTTGGGAAAATTCACACCCTCACGAGTCAGGTTACGGGAGAGACGGGGGTTCTCACAAAACGTAGACTCTCGAATGCCATTTTGGGCTGGATGATTGGGTTACAGTAACACCCTGTAAGCATTAACCCGACTTAGTAACTGCCGCTTTTTAAGTGACATTTAATTTGAGTTCTTATATAAGTTTAAAACGTGAGATGTTTTAATAACACCGGTTGCTAGACTCAACCCAAGGTGATGCACAGGGTCAAGCAAATTTTAAGACAGACGACTGAGAAGATGCAAACACAACAGAACCATAACCTAGGCGCGACCATACAAGTGAGAGGTACAAACGAAGTAGGCACCTCTTATCAGAACCCCAAGATTTATGTGAAAGTACTTTAAAAATGTTCAATGACTGCCTACATTTCTGCTATAGCCATTGGAGATGGGAGACAAAACTAAGCTCGCTGTGAAACATCACTCACAGAAACCTATGTTGGGCTCTAACTTCGATGGCATCTCGATCCATTTAACATGAGAGTGGGGTCTAATCATAGCCACCGCCGCAAAAAAAAAAGGGAACAGATACTTTTTTTTTTTTTTTGCAGAGAACTTAAATTCATTCTCATTAGTCCATTTAGTCATTCTTAAAGCCCACGGAAGAAACACCCACTGAGAAAGTTTTCTATTTAGTGAAGCAATCTGCCGCGCACTCTATACATAAACAGGTCACGCAGGATGCCATGTCTCCAAGTGGTATCGTAAGCCTTTTCTAAGTTAAAAAAGACCGATATCCAACGCTGCCTATTCACAAACGATTCACGTGCAACAGTCTCCAGCTGAACTAAATGGTCTATTATGGAGCGTCCTGATTGACAGTCACACTGAATTGCATTCAAAATATTGTGTTACTGAGGGAAATAAACGAGGCGCTTTGTAATCAACCTTTCATATGTTTTCCCCGAGAAACTAATCAGTGCAACCGGACTAACTTGAAGGAAGTGAAGGTAGTTCGCCAGGCTTCAGCAGCAGAATCATTTCTGCCTGCTTCCATTCGGCGGGGAAGGGAGCATCGTTCCACAGACCACTAACTTATGTAAGGAGGGCTGTGTGTGATTCCTCCGATAAATGCCAGATCACCTCATAATATATTCGATCAGGACCGGTAGATGGACGCTTTCGGACTTCGAGAGCCATTTAAAGCTCAGCCATTGTAAACGGTTGTTTATACTGTGCAGAGGCTACTCCAGGAAAGCTGAACCTTCGTTTTTTTCTGCATCTGATTTATACTTCATAAACGCTGGAGAATAGTGGGAGGAGTTAGAAACCGCTGCAAAATGTGCGCCTAGCATATTTGCCTGCAGTGAGCTTACAGAGGAAACAAAAACAGCAAAGCAACGGTATATGCCTTTGACCTTGTGCAGTCGGTCTCACACTTCCTTTGCTGGGACGTAGCTGCTGATAGAGGAGATACAGCCACTCCATGACCTACTTTTGGCCTGATTCCTTATCCAACGAGCTTGGTGCCCTATTTTGTAGAAACTCTGTCAAATTCACGAACGTCGGCAAGGGTCGCCAGTTCGTGGCAGTATGGCTCGCTCGTGGAGTGACTTAGTCCTGGATGTGATTTGGCGGAGAACACTTACTAGGTTGTATATGTTAAAGGGACGCTGAACCGGAACTCGTAGCTCACAAAACAAGGCTGGGAGGATAGGCGGGCCTGCAACAGCCAAAAACATCACTCGTACCGTATTTTTGGAAAAGAAGTGCGCGATCGAACACGGCCAACGAGGCCGACGAGACATGTGACGTCGCGATTCTCACTCCCCCTTCTCTTCGCTTCAACCCCCCCCCCCCCCCCCCCCTCAACAGGTGACCAAAGCGAGGAGGAGAGAAGCGAGGCCGCTTCCCTCATTCTCAACTGTTCGAAGAGAATCGTGACGTCCCATTCCTCGCTTGATCGCGCCCTTCTTTTCCTAAACTACAGCCATCTGTTTGAGATATCTATGTATGAGCGATGTATTGAAGTTAGTAGCGTTCCGTTCAACGCTTCTGCTGCCTTATTTTGTGCAATACAAATTTGGATTCAGCATCTCTTTAAAGCTTCCACAGTGCTTCCGCAACGTGCATTCCACACCATCAAGATCGCCGTTCTTTGCAGACGTTAGGTACTTGATCTGAGAAGGCTGCGGGGACCGCTGCGAGGCGCTGTGAATAACGTTCTCAAGTACGGTACCCAGTGAACACCGTATCTATAAATAGCTTCCAGATGCCGCCATTGCTAGATACTGGCGGCTATTTCTACTTACAGGTTCCCTCCAGCTGCGGTGTGAATCTAACAGGGCGAAACGAACGCTCGTGGCGCATTAAATACCGGCATGACCACGAGTGACGTTACGGGCGAGGTATAAATAGGCTATTATAGGCCATACAGCCCTCAGATATTACTATTAGGCGGGATTGTCACGCGTTGACGCCACCAAGCGGCAATGCTCGCTACTACAGTACGCTTGGCCGTACAGAGGCCCCTGACGTCACGAGCGCGATACGCATAGCGCTTTTCGCTGGCCGATTTTGAAGCGAGAGGTAGAGAGCTAGCCGCCACAACCTTTGTTTTCGTACCCCTTTAATTGCCATTTCACCAAAATCTAAAGATTTCTTGTTTTTTTATAAAAATGTTGTTTTGGAGTATTTGTACCCTCCCCCCCCCCCCCCTCTTATTCCCTTTCCTTTAAATACGCTCCTGTATATGACCGTAAACCAACTAATCGCAGATGCGTTTTATGGTGTGTTCACACGTCGGAGACTTTCTTCGCTGAGAGGATTGAGCGTAATCAAGTTTTGAGGTCACGTGATCCGTGAAACGGACATTTGCTTATCCCCAGTGTCTGCGCAGAGCCGTGCAGGATGTTAAATTCATTTGCCGGCCGATAGGTCTTGACATATCTATGCATGACTTGCATCGATGCCACTTCCGCTATCTTTGAGTAACGTTACTAGATTACCTCAATCGCGGAACTCCCCGCGGAGGGAAGTACCTCCCCTCACTCCCTCCAGTTCGCCTCTCGTCGTTTGAAGAGTCATCTAGATTTTCGTTTCAAAACCGTGCTCCAAAGAGTATGATGAAACGCCATCTAGATGGGCTGTGCTTCGAAACCTAAGTATTCCATAGAATACGCTGCAGTTACCATAGCATCCGTTCCCCAAGAAACGGTGTCGCGTAAAATGAAGGGATGCGAGCCGTGAGGGGAGAGGGGTGCTCGTGCGAGCAGCGTTTATGGGCAGTTGCGTAACTGAGCTAATCTATAGTCCGTCGCAACTCAAGAAGGTAGGGAGAGGGAAAGGAAGGCCGGGGAGGAGGAAGCAGACGGAACGCTGGAGAGAAGACGATAGTAACGTTGCTTTTGTGGCGACCTTGCTGTTGAGCGCAAACCTCTTGTAGCACACATTCCTCGCCGCATCTTTTTTCCTCGGCGAGAAAAAGTAAAGAGGAGCCCTAGCATAATGGGAGGATGTCACGAGCAAGTAGTGTTGTACGGAACGCCGTTCCAAGAAGTGACTTTCGTAGAACGCGTTCCTTTTAGGAGAAACGTAGAAACACCGCCACCATGCATCGGTGAAATAAGAACGCCTGGTATTTTTTGGTATTTTTTCTTTTTTTTTGTCTATTAATTTGCATTCCCCACCCCTTCTGCTCTCATGCCCCTGGGCAAGAGGGACGGTCGTATCCGCCATACACAAATAAACGTATTTTGAATCAATATATCTGCAGTTTTACACAAATTTCATAGGCAGTCGGGCTCTTTATAACAAACTACTATTTTAACCTCCGACTTCGAGGGGTGGGGAACTGTCGGAGTGATAGTCGCAAACAAAGAACTGGAACAACCGTGATCGTGAGGAAACGACATGTACAGTTCCATGTGGATATTGTTCCTCGCTCCGTTTATTTTATCCACGGATTATCCGCATCAACGTCTCATTAAAATACGCAAACGAAATGTTAAAGTAACGACACGCTCCAATCTAACAAACGTAACGAGAACGCGTTATTTTCGAACCACTGGGACCTGCAACTGGAACTCGTTCCGAGATTGAAGAGGAACGAGGAACGAGTTTTCGTAACTGTTTCGGAGGAACATGTACAACACGGCGAGCAGGCTATTCATGCATATAAACCAGCACGTTATGTACAGACTAGTGCCACTAAATCAGCTACGCTTCGGAGTAACGGCACTTACCCATCTTGTGACTTTAAATCATGGTTCCGAGCTATCTGAAGCCTTATATGAAATCACACGAAGCGCTTTTGCTTCCTCCACAAATATCTAAGGAGTTCGCGACAGAGAAAAGCAATATTACACGAGCTTTCTAACACCAAATCTGATGCCGAGGAAGTCGCTTTTTTAATCACGACGATCGACAGTGGCGTCTGCTCTCCACAAGTGCCAAATTGGTGGCGCCTGCAGAAGAGTATCGGGGAACGGAGTGCCGATGCTCTAAGCGTATACTCATTTAGGAACTCTAACATAGACAAGACAAAATAACATTTACAAACAAGTCGGCACCGAATATGGCACTCGGTGGGCACAGAAACCATATTCGGGTAAAGTGAAGCGTCTGGGCGCGTGTCGTACCGGCAGAAACAACGCAACAGAACGGCGTACGCCAGAGACGGCTGTTGACGCATAACCACACGTTTAAAGAAAGAACGAAGCGTAGAAGATACCTGAAAGGTGGGTGACACATAAAAGTCCTGGTCGATCGGAAACGGCATCTTGAATCCAAGGTTATGGATGAGCTTGAAGCCCCGGCTCCTGACGGCCCTCATGGGATAATACATGGTTGCTTCGTGAAGGTTGTGGCTTGCGAAGACGGCTCGTTCTTCGCCGGAGGCCCCCTCGCCGCCGCCATCAGCTCCGACCAGCGGTAGGACAGAGGCCCCCGTTAAGATCACGGGCTTGCCGAAGATGTCGTAGTCGGGTGGCTGAATGCCGAACCAGTCCAGGACAGTCGGCGTGACGTCCAGAAGGCTCACCATGGCATCCGATCTCTGGAAAGACAGAAAGAAAAGAAAAAGTAAATATATCATATTTTTTACTTATTTGTATGTTTTTGTTTACATTTATGACACAAATGTCCCGCGTGAAAGAAAAAAAGACAGGTACATTCTGCTTCACGAGGACCAGTCGCGCTGATGCATTACATCGGCAGGCCATAAAAATATAAATATGAAAGAGCAAAAAAAGAAACATCGGCAGAAAACAACAGCAAAATAGTAGAAATCCCATTACACCCGCAAAAAAGTAAAGCACCTATTGGCAGTACAAAACGAAATGTATGTGAATTCAATTTGCCGAACTAGATTTATTTATTCAGACATGGCCACAAGATACACTTTCATATCGTTTGCGAACCTGTGATGCGAAACACTATTTCGTATTATTCCCATAACATTCGTCCAGTCCTGAGAGGACATACAGTACTTCGAGTTCGTGAGGTCAGCGATAAACTCCCGAACACCTTCTGTTGTCCACCAGGCACCACCCAAGCAGGATGCGCTTTGGGGGTGGAGGAGCGATCAATCGGCAGTGACTATTTCAATTTTGACGTCCATGACGTCACTTCCGTAACCAAATGGTGACTTTATTATTTTGACGTATCCCGCCAATGCATCCGTCACAGTGGACACTGTTTAGTTCTGTTTGGTTTCTGACAGTGTTTCCTACAGCGTTGCAAGCGTTGTTTTGACATTTGTCGCTGCGTCGCGTGCCTAAGTTCTGGGTCCTACTTAGCATCCGATTCTTTGGGACGTGACACTTCCGGCGGCGATGCCCTGAGCTCTCGCACGTCATTTCGGCACGCGTCTCACTTCAAATTTCAAACCCAGAACAAAGGTGAACTGGATCTTTCCTGCACGTAACAAATGGAAGTGCGTATACTACACGGAGTTTGGAACGATTTTAAGCCTCCACGCGTGCGAGCACGTCTTCGACTGGCTGGTTGCAAAATATCGCTTTGCTTCTTCGTTGTTGAGTTTAGATTTTGATTTTTGGTGTGCTATAACGAGTCTGTGTTGGCTACGAAGCAATCGGGATGCTAAATAAAGCGTTGCGAATGCAAACATGACCTCCTTGGTGTTTCGTGAACGGTGGAACAGGTTCCGACGCACCGAGCAAAAAAATTAGTTACAGTGTACGTCGCAGATATACAAAACACGCATTTTCCGAGAAGCGAATGCCGCCCAGTAGGCTGAAATTTTTATTAAACAAGATTCAGCTTCTTCGTCTGAATAAATAACGTGGAATAAATCACGATAAGCAACGGTGCCGCAATCTGTAATGTTTAGCACAACCAAACAAACGTTACGTGCGCCCTGACAGCTGAGTTGTACTTTGATCATTTTTCACTGCAGTCGACTGCACGGGATTTGTTGTCAGAAAAAGCGTGTTGAACTGCGACGCAGACTACAATCAAAGCATATTTTCCGCCACTTTTAATTTAGTTTTACATTTGAGACTTAAAAATATTTAAAAAGAAATAATTTCATGGAAGACGTCACGATGGTTTCAAAAGTATTTTTACGTCTTAAAACAGGGGAGTTACAGACTTTAAAATAACACTCAAAATTATTTTGAAAATCCATTCCTCCCATACATAATTAAACAGCGCACAAGGAGGGGGACAGAAAAGGAAGACAGAACAGGCAAGCGCTGACTCGCAACTGACGATTTACTATGAAAAGGAGAAGGAAGAAAACTACACACATGAACATATATCGGAAAAGAGAAAGATGTGAAAAAGCTAATAAATTAAATAAAATTACACCTAAAATAATTATAGCTGAAAAGGAAAACAAAATAAAATGAAAATCAATCTCTCAAAGTCCTAGGCATGTCCAGTGCCGGCACTCCGAAGCCTTGACCATACACCTATTTGTGCGCAGCTGCCCCCATAAACTCATACTCGCTGTCTTGTAGTGTTAATGATGGCTGGCTCACACATTTGGATTCGAGCTTTCTTATCCAAAAGGCTTCCACTATTTCTCTTGTTGTTTTTTCTTTATGGGAAGCTAGAACAGTTGTTGCACAAAAATCTGGATCACATCCACAGGTTCTGCAGTGGATGGCTAGGTGGCTTCCAGTGGTGGTTTGAAGAGACTGTTTATGTTCCCTCAAGCGGTCGTTGAGGCAACGCCCAGTCTGTCCGACATAGGTTTTCCCGCAGGACAGAGGAAGATGGTAAACCACTTGTAGAATGCAAGACACAAAGTGCACCTTGTGGTTTTTCATGCAGCAAGCCCTGCTGTCATTGTTCTTGTCCACAAGCGTGCAAATTCTACCCAGTTTGTTTGGGGCTGAAAACACCATGGGCACGTTGTATCTATTGGCAACATTTTTTAAGTTGTGCGACGTCTTGTGGATGTATGGTATAACTAGTGGTCGGATATTGGTAAGGTCTTTGCTCTTTTTTCTTTTGGTCGATCCTTTACAGGTTTGTATCAGAGTGCCCGCAACTTCACTTAACATGGCTGATGGAAAGCCGGATCTTGAGAGTTTGTTTACTTGAGTGCTGAAACTCTGTTCGATGGTGTGGTGACAGGATTTTTTCAAAGCTGAATACATGCACGAACTGGCTATCCCTCTTTTTATTAATTTTGAATGGGCAGATTGGTAATTAAGAATTTCTTTTTTGGAGCGTGGTAGGTAGGACCAACAAATGTGGTGATCTGAGATTTTTATAGATAGGTCCAGGAACTGCAGCACATTTAGAATAGGTTGTTCATACGTAAAACTCAGACCTTTACCGCTTCTGGAGAAAACACTCAGGATTGTATCTATTAAGTCTTCTGTTTGTTCTTCTTGGAGGATAATAAGAAAGTCATCAACGTACCTGAAGACTTTTATAATAGACATAGTGCTCAAAAGCGGTGCGAGGATCATGTCTACGCCTCCCAGAAAGATGTCGCTTAAGATGGGAGCAACACATGACCCAATGCACACTCCAGACCGCTGTAGGTATGAAGAATCTTGCCATTTTACAAACAAGGCTTTCAGATAAAAGTCTAGTAGCTCCATGAAGCTTTCCGTTGAAGTACCACTCGAATTCTGAAACTTGATTTCTCCTGATTGTTCAATAGTTGATTTGACTAAAGCCAGGAGAGCATCCTGTGGAATGGAGTAATACAGGTCCACCACGTCTACGCTGAAGGCTCCTCTCTTCTGATTGGTGTCACTCTTCAAAAAATCAATTACCTCCTCGGAGTTGTGTATGAGGAACGGGTCAACTATGTTGAGGCTAGAGAGGTGAGTCTGGAGATAGAGGGCGATCTGTTTCTGCCAAGTACCCCTTTCTGATACAATGGCCCTGAAGGGACATGCATCTTTGTGGGTTTTTGCACTAAAAAATATATCCAGGTGCAAGCCCTCAGCTTTCTTTATTTTTACCGCCAGCTGATTGAGACTTAGCTTTTGACAGGTGGCATATGCTCTTTCCTTGATCTTTTTCAGTACTATGTCTACAGGCTTGAAATTTTTCATTACAGCAGCGTTAGCCTTTTCATTGTACATACCCTCGGGCATGACGACAAAGCCTCCTTCTTTATCTGAGAGCAGAAGTTTCTGGGAGTTTTGCCCTAAATATCTGACCACGGGTCTGACTTGAATGGGCTGTCTTCCTTTCTTGATGGAGCTTGTGATGACGTTCACACATTCTGAGATGCATCGGGGACGATCTGCTTCTGGTACTTTGAAGGCTACCTTCCTTGCCAAGGTTAGTAAAGCGGGTGGCTGTAAGGTGGGTTCCACGGAAAATTTAGGGCCTAGGTCTAAAGTCTTCCTTACAGGAGAAGGAATACTAACTTGGCAGAAACAGATCGCCCTCTATCTCCAGACTCACCTCTCTAGCCTCAACATAGTTGACCCGTTCCTCATACACAACTCCGAGGAGGTAATTGATTTTTTGAAGAGTGACACCAATCAGAAGAGAGGAGCCTTCAGCGTAGACGTGGTGGACCTGTATTACTCCATTCCACAGGATGCTCTCCTGGCTTTAGTCAAATCAACTATTGAACAATCAGGAGAAATCAAGTTTCAGAATTCGAGTGGTACTTCAACGGAAAGCTTCATGGAGCTACTAGACTTTTATCTGAAAGCCTTGTTTGTAAAATGGCAAGATTCTTCATACCTACAGCGGTCTGGAGTGTGCATTGGGTCATGTGTTGCTCCCATCTTAAGCGACATCTTTCTGGGAGGCGTAGACATGATCCTCGCACCGCTTTTGAGCACTATGTCTATTATAAAAGTCTTCAGGTACGTTGATGACTTTCTTATTATCCTCCAAGAAGAACAAACAGAAGACTTAATAGATACAATCCTGAGTGTTTTCTCCAGAAGCGGTAAAGGTCTGAGTTTTACGTATGAACAACCTATTCTAAATGTGCTGCAGTTCCTGGACCTATCTATAAAAATCTCAGATCACCACATTTGTTGGTCCTACCTACCACGCTCCAAAAAAGAAATTCTTAATTACCAATCTGCCCATTCAAAATTAATAAAAAGAGGGATAGCCAGTTCGTGCATGTATTCAGCTTTGAAAAAATCCTGTCACCACACCATCGAACAGAGTTTCAGCACTCAAGTAAACAAACTCTCAAGATCCGGCTTTCCATCAGCCATGTTAAGTGAAGTTGCGGGCACTCTGATACAAACCTGTAAAGGATCGACCAAAAGAAAAAAGAGCAAAGACCTTACCAATATCCGACCACTAGTTATACCATACATCCACAAGACGTCGCACAACTTAAAAAATGTTGCCAATAGATACAACGTGCCCATGGTGTTTTCAGCCCCAAACAAACTGGGTAGAATTTGCACGCTTGTGGACAAGAACAATGACAGCAGGGCTTGCTGCATGAAAAACCACAAGGTGCACTTTGTGTCTTGCATTCTACAAGTGGTTTACCATCTTCCTCTGTCCTGCGGGAAAACCTATGTCGGACAGACTGGGCGTTGCCTCAACGACCGCTTGAGGGAACATAAACAGTCTCTTCAA